TGTGTGCTCTGCCACTGACTATCTGGGACACTTGGGCAACATACCACCTCTTTTTATATAATAATAAAGATTTGGTATTTGTGTCAGTCAGTATGGGCTGTTATGCTGCAGTAAAAAACAATCCCAAATTACGACAAAGATTTATTTCTCTGAGGGTTGGCTGAGGGTTCTGCTCCATATTGTCTTCATTCCAAGACCCAAGCTGATGGAGCAGCCACTGTCTGAAATGTTTCCAGTCACCATGGCATAGGGAAAGAGAAAGTAGTACCTCATGACTGGCTCTTCTCAAAAATTCCACCTAGAAGTGACATGTGACTTTTGCTCACATTTCATTGGCCACAGAAAGCCAGATGACTATACTTAACTTCCAAGTGGCTGAGGGAGTGCAGGAAAACTCTTGTAAAAAAATAAGCAACTTGTCACATACTTGACACATACTCATTCTAAAGTCCTAAAATACAGCAGTATCTGACAAAGCTAACAGCAGGTGCCAACGAAACAATTTGGCTTTATCAAGATAATTGCAAAACGAACCTACATCTCCCCCCTTGTCTTGTGAGATTCATTTTGGTTATTTGCACTTTGGTTTGTCCTATGTGGACAGAACATCTGAAAAAGGAAAGATTCATTTAGGCAATGAAGGGGAAAAAGAGTATATTTAACTTCATATCGTTTTTTTTTTTCCAATTATTTTACTGAGATCATAATGGTTTAGAACGTTATGTAATTTCAGGTGTACATTAGTATTTATCAGTTTTGTATAGACTGCATCATGCTTACCATCAGTAGTATAATTTTTATCCATCACCATACATATGTGCCCCTTTACCCCTTTTGCCCACTCCCAACCCCCTTCCCCTCTGGTAACCACTAATCTGTTCTCTTTATCCATGTGTTTATCTTCCACATATGAGTGAAATCACGTAGTGTTTGTCTTTCTCTGTCTGGCTTATTTCACTTAACATCATACCCTCAAGGTCCATCCATTTTAACTTCATATCTTAACAGCCTACCCCAACTCCATTTCTCCTTTAAAAGGAAATATACTTTGTTCACGATTGAAGAGTAACAAAGTTTTCTCAAAACTTACTTTTCTTTTCTGTCCCTCACACATCAGGATTTGGTGGCAGTTGGAGGGTTCTGACACTGGAATTGCACTGAAAACACTTGAAGTGTACTAAAAAAAAAAGGCCTCCTTTATGCTGTGTCCTCATACTCTTGCGGAGACCCTGGAGAAAACACTGACGGTATTCAGAACGTACCGGCCCTAGCATTGCCAGTGAGAGCGAGATGGTTCTCAGCCACCTCCTCCTTCCCCACCTTCCCCACCACCTCGTGCCCCTACATAATGACGAGGCAGCAGCAACTACAATACCAGTTAGGGAATCATGAACAGATGTGGAATAACGCGGATACAATTTCACATTATGGTAGCATTTGCCAACATAAAAATTATTACAACTTTGCTATAAATTGTCCTGTAAATTTTACAAAATATGCAAAAACTGACATTTCAAGAGCTGAAATCATTTAGATTTATTAAAAAGTTGAGGCCCTTGAGATTCAGCAAAAGAGAGTATATTTCTTTATCTAGCTGTTGGTTGCGTAGGTCTTGTTTTGTGTTTGTTTTTCAGCTCCTTGTTTATAATTCATAGGTCAAAACCAGCCACATCTGGGCTTTGACCACTTCATCCAGTTTTGCTCATAAATTTCTCCTGTGTCTCAGGCAGCAGGTATAACTTCTCTGAATCCCAAATTTCTTATCAGAGCATGCAGCAATCATGGTCTGCCTCAAAAAGTTGACAGGAAAGCATTTGATATCTAGAAAGCACTCTAAAATGCTTCTTTGACATAGACAGGTTCCACAGTCTTTATAGAGCACCACTCCTAAGGATGCTTTTCTCACTTCTCCATATTCTCTTCACACACCCCTAACACACTCACACACACATACACACTTGCACGCCCTTTCTCCACTCAGTGCCACAGTCGTGTCGCACGTCACCAAGGCCATGCTTCCTAGGCTGTCTTTCAACAGAACCTTCATCAAAATCCATGCTTCTCACCTGAGACACTTCGAAAGCTCCTCTCCTCAAGCTGCTGTTCTTGTCTGTCACATGCAGATAATACGTCTTTTTACATGAGAGACGCCATTGTCAGAGCCGGGATAACCAGAGTGTATTTGCTACCCTTGAGGAAACATGGCCATGGTGTGTGTGTGCTGTGAATGAGTTTGTTACTTGTCCCTTTGAAAGGGACAGTGTGGCGCATTATATCTGCCCCTATCCTCAGAGCTAGAAAGCCATATGGAATTAAAGCAGAAATCTTCATCAGAAATCAAACTCTTTATTAAGTTGCCCCTCCTTTTTCTCCCCAACCCCCCATACCCTCATGCTCTTGAAATAAAGCTTGAGGACTAGTTTAGATTTTAAATCTCAGCTTCAATGGGGCAAAACCTGACCTTAGCATTCCTCTCACACCAGTTGTCCTGGGTCTAATTAACGCCGCCCCAGTATGTTTAGGCAATGACTGTTGTAAAACATGGGGGGTGCTGTATTCACTGCCTCAGTCAGGGCGTGACTCAGGGTTCGGCCCCCACAGCTCATGAAAAGCTTGTGTCTGCATTTCGTCACCCAGCGGGAAGCACCCTTGCTGTGGTCTCTACTGTGCACACTAAGTGTTTTACTGTGCACTTCCACATACTGAAAACAATAATCATTTCTCCTGTGCCTGAATTCCTCACCCTGCTACAGTTCAGCAGTTCCTTCCTTACTGGGTCTGGATATCCGGGACCATAGCCCTAAAACATATTCCACTTCTCTGGGAAGTTTCATTTTTCCCCAGCTATTGCAAACACGATCTTGCTGAACAGAGCTGAATTTTTAAGACTGAGTTTGTGGTATGGATTCTGATGGCTTCACGTTAGTTCAAGTCTCTGAGGACCAGTGCCAATAAATGTGAAAGGGACAACAGTAGATTGGCATACTTTCCCATTTCCACCAGGATGAAAAACTGTTATAAATTAAGTCTAACCTTAAATGTATAATCTGTCCTTGGGAAGAAAAAAAAAAAAAAAGGATATAGCATCTTCAAGCTCTTGGCATCCCTTACGAGAAAAAATTGGTTCTAAAGGTCTCTGATCTTGTGTTTTAGTAAAATAGAACTGCACGGCTGACTGACAGTTCTGATCTAAAGCATTTACGTTTAAGTTTTGATCTCTCTGCTTTTGATTAAAACTAATGAGCTCATTTAATTCAAAATGGGAATCTCTGATAAGAGAAATAAGGTTGATGTGATTGGATTAGAGGGGCAAATTAAACTCTTAGAGCAGAAGTTTGTGCTTATATAGTGTATTAAAAAGCTGTTGGCGTATTATGGCGTGTTAGATGATGAGAAAAATTTCATAGTAATTCATATTTAATCAGAAGAAATGAAAGTACTAAATATAACATGGCTCTGCTTTTCCCTCGAGTGATAAAAAGCTGTACATTTAAAATGACATTAGATCCATGCTCTCTAAAACAAAAAAAAAGAAAATCTTAAGAGAGACACATAAGAAAGGGACACTTGTCAGTGATTCTATCACCCCAGAATAGATATGCCATAAATATGGGAAAATATAGTCATATTAAGACAAGAATGATATAAGAAAAACCCCAGAACACAAAGAGCAAGGTTTATGTTATTATAGTAGTTCTCATTCTTCCTTCATCCAAGCGTCGTTTAATATAAAAAATAGATATTTCTTTCCTTTGGAAATATATGGAATACATAATTTAAAAGACTGGTTTCCTATTTTTCTTTGTGTTTTAATAGTCATTTTCACTTACACTTAATTCTTAAATCTCTTCGTTACACATATTTCTTTACCTCTACCCCAGAGAAAATTAGTGTTAGCATAGAGCTGCTCAAAAGAAATCCTGTTTTGTTGTTGGACATATTTATTTTACTTTAAAACAAGAAAAACTTTAAAGTGCTATTTTGGAACAGTGAAATTAGACAGAGTATTTATTAGGCTTAAAAAACCCAAAATTAATTTCTTTTCAGGAAAATACTTACATTTATAAAATATCTTAGAGGCTTGTTTTTTAAAAAAAGCAGGTTTACATTGCCTTGTGGTCTGTTTGCATAAAGGGGTTTTTAGATCAGCAGGACTGCAAACTACCATTTTAAGTTTCATAACTAAAAAGGTATTCTACTTAGTCTAAAGCCATATCAAGGGAAAGCGTAACTATCTTGCTTAAGAGAGGAAACTGTTATTTTCTCATATCGGAAGCAGAGAAGTGAAAACACAGAGACTCTTTCCTATTTGGATGAGGGCAAGGGACAAGCTGCCATTAGTGACAGGAATGGAAAGTTGATACTGTGAGTAGTTTTTGTTTGTTTCTGTCTGCATACCCCATTGTCAGCCCTCTGTCTCGAGTCCGTTGAGAAGACCTCATGCTTGTTATTCCCCACAATGAAGGAAACCAGCTCAGGAGGGCAGGGACCCTGGCAGGATACAGCTCCCCAACCTTGGTGGTTCCGTGGCTCTCAGAACTCCCCAGTAGGCAAACGATACAAGAAGGGACGAGCAGGGAGAGTAAAGAGCAAGTCATCCTTACCCTTCATGAGAAGTGTCTCTGCCTGAGTCTTGGTTGATCCCAAAAATCTGTGGGGTCCTCTTCTTTCATGATCATTCTCTCCATGTGCACCGACCAAGCCTCAAGGTGTGCTACAATTACTTACTGACTATTAGACCCCACGCGGGGAGCTGCAGGAAGTTAAAAGGCCTGAAAAGCTCTTGCTAGAAACTGGAATGGAGTTATTTTGGATTCATTAATTTTTCTTTTTTATTTTCTGCAAAGTAAACATTTTCTAAATGAGGGAAATTGATTACGATGCTCTTAGCACCCATCAGTCGTTTATTTTTAGTGAACTCGAGGAGTGCACCTGAACATAGCTCTGAGGGGCTGTGTGGAGATCTAAATCATGTGTGTATGTATTTTTGTATTCTTCAGTGGAGTCAACCAGCCCCAGTCTGCTAACCACTGACAACACCCTTGAGCGTTCCTTTTTCATCCGAATGAAATCTACTCTGACCAAACGTGGCGTGCACATCAAATCATCAGGATATAAGGTAAGCTGGGCTCCTGGAGGGGAGAGACTTCTGTCTCAAGTCAACCCTGGGTCATTTGCGCTGAGTGTCCCCGCCGCTTTGGGTCTGTATAATTAATACATGTAGTCTTGAGCCACCCATAGGATTCTTAGTTATCTTCCTGTCTCAAGGTAGGGGATTCATAACAACTCTCATTCTCACTGCAGACAGTGCTGGTGCACTAAATGCCTCAATATAGTGTCTTTCCTTAAAACACTTGTTAATAATGCACCAAGTGCTTCAGCACATGCTAGAAATTCACTTTGATGAAGAAAGTGAGCCAAATTCACATCAGTCCTTAAGATGAGTGTTCTAGAACTACTACCTATACAAATTCCACTTTTCCCACTTCCCCCATCAAATTCCCTCTTTCTCTTTAGAGAAAGACTGTCCATTTTAATAACACGTTGGACACCAAGATTCATACACATAGATAAGAAAATCAGGTTGGATGTCAGAAATCTTAATATTGATATTACAAGTATTGAACACTTGGTCATACCTTAGCATACATAGAATACTCAACATACAGAGTATATTTTTTCCCACAATAGCAAAGACCAAGTCTGGAGTCATAATCTGCGTTATTATCATTTTAAGGTTAAGGATATAAAAGCCTTCTAATCTCAGGAAATTCCAACATTTCAGTTACTATAGCAACATAAATTAAGACCTATGAAATTTATGAAACGCCTTTGGCAACCTGAATCTTATCAATTTTACAACACACTAACCAGTCTCTCAAACAATATTTATTATATGTGGGAGGGCAAACAGAAACGGAATGTACGGTAGATGTGGCCAGCACGACTTTTCCCAATTTGAGAGTTAGAGCCGCTGATAGCTCAGTTCTTTAGGGTGACCACAGCATTGTCAGGGATGGTAATAGTCATCAGCAGGCCTTGAAACCTTATATAAGTCATCAGGAGACTAGCAGCTGCATAAAAGTCAGAGTCAGGCACTTTCTTTGACATGAGTTCCTCAGAAAAAAAAGAAAGGAGGTGGGGAAGCAGGCCCTTCCGTGAACGACCTTTAGCTGAGCTGTCCTACAGTCTGAAAGGCACACGTGGAGCATCCTTAACCTTTAACAGAGTTCGAAGCAAAGGCAAGACACCTGGGCAGCTCCGCCTGCGGTTACAAAGGGATGTGTTGGAGGAAAAAAACAGACTCTATCCTTAGGACTGTTTTGTATTTTCCTGTCTTGCTGAACACAATATATTTATTAGTTGTTAACTGTGTAGCATTAGCAAGTTTGGAATTCTATAAGCTATAAGTGTAGCGATTATTGTCGTCTTGATGCATTCCAGCTTTTAGGAGCCGTAGAGCTTCCTTTCAACCATTACTTTGCTATATGTCAGCATTTGTTCTTCATCTTTAATGGTTTTATGGTTTTTACTGGTTTGTAGGGAGCATATCCCAGGAGGGAAGAAGGGTGGGAGAGATGAGGTACAGTTTGAAAAAGCAATATTAGTATAATTCAATATCATTCAATAATTTAACTTGTTGAAAAACAAAATAAATTATTTCACATGACAAAGTAGAGATCATAAAGCTTTGCAAAATTTTGGCTCTGCAAAAAGGTGGGATGTATTGGTAAAAAAGTACTATGGAGAAATAGTTTGAGTTTCAGTCTACACAAGAGACCAAATAGCTTGGGTTCTATTTGTTTTGCCATGTGGTCACCTCAATAAAGTTGTTTTTGCTACATGACCTGAAATTGGACAAGCTATTTTCTTAAATATTAGTGGAACATTCATTCAACAAATATTTATCAAGCTCCTACCATGGAAGCCCATAGATCCTGGAAACTCATGGAACAATAAAAAGTCCAAAGTGAAAAATCACTTTTTTCACTATTTTTTTCATAGTGATTACACTAATGGGGGAGACAGATAATAACAAGTAAAAAATAAAGAAGGTGGGGCCAGCCCGGTGGCACAAGTGGTTAAGTGCGCAAGCTCCGCTGCGGCGGCCCGGGGTTCGCTGGTTCGGATCCCAGGCGCGCACCGACGCAGGGCTTGGCAAGCCATGCTGTGGCGGCGTCCCATATAAAGTGGAGGAAGATGGGCACGGATGTTAGCCCAGGGCCAGTCTTCCTCAGCAAAACAATCGGAGGATTGGCAGATGTTAGCACAGGGCTGATCTCCTCACAAAAAAAAAAGAAAGAAAGAAGGTGATTTTGGAGAGTGATGAAGGCTAAAATAACAATAACTAACATTTATGCACACTACGATATGCTTGGCATGTACAGTTTACATGTAGTATCCCTCACAACAATCCTAGAGGAAAGTATTTTCATTGTTTCCATTTTACAAACGAAGAAACTAAGGTTAGAGAGGTTAATTAGCATACCCATCATCACACGTTGAAGAGCTGGGGTTTGAACTCTGGGAGTCTGGCTCCACCCTCCATGCACTTACCCACTAGGCTACATTATTCTGCAGAGACTGAAGCAAGATAATGTGAGGGGGTGGCTGGTGGGGACCACTTTAGGTAGGAGGGTCACAGAAGGTCTCCTTGAGGAGGTAACATGTCACCTATGAGAAGGGACCACCATGAAGACATACGGAAGAAGAGTGTTTCTCGAGCTCCTTGGGCTAAGGATTAAAGTCACCTTTCTATAAGAAGGCGCCTTTTAGAAACAAAATATTAAAAGGTACAACCTTGAACATCCAGGATTGGAAAAGATTTAGAAGCTATTCCAGTTTCCATCAAATCATATAATGTTAAAGTGATCAGACCCTATCAGTACTTCTTCCTCAAGATATCGTGAAAGTCTCCATCCAATGCCTCAGTCCCCTCCCCAGAACTGCTAACATGAGAGTTGATTCATCCACTGTTCCCCCAATAAGATGAATCACCCAACAGATCCAGCTCTTCCCCTCCTCCTCCACAGTGAACTTCCCTCGTTAATTAACCTTGTCTGAAAGTTAGTGAAAGAGCTATGAGAAGCCATGACTTGACACAGCTGAGTAACATCCCTATTTATCTGTTCATCCTCAGTAAATAAATCTAACAGCTTATAAAACATTCAAATAAAACTGGTAATCACCCCACCACCACACAATAAACACAAATAAAAAGAAACAGCAATGATAATTTTTCCATACTCCCAATATTCCCTCTAATTTATTACCATCGTATGCTTCTTTCTTTTCCCTTAATTAAAGATCCAAGATGTTAAGCCTTGCTCAGTGCAGGTCACTATATTTCTCTCCATTTTTTCTGTGGCCTTGACACATGAACTTTTCTGCCATCTCCATCACTTTATCTGCCACTCTCTGTTTAGTGTCATTGTTGTTGTCACTGACAGTAATAATAGTAACAAAAGTACCACTTATTGAATACTGACTGTGGCAGACACTGTGCCGAACACTTTATACTTATTCTATTTAATCTGCACAACATTATTTAAAAACTTCCTCTGTGTCAGACATTGTTTAAACTTTACATTCTATTATTATGCCCATTTTGCAGGTGGTGAAACTGAGGACTTAATAGATTCAGTACTTTGCCCATGTTCACACAGGTGCTAAGTAGCTACTGGGGAGCCAGGGTTGATCCAGGCCTGTTTGACCCCAGAGTTTGCCCTCTTCACACTTCTGGTTCACTGGTCAATAGATAAAGTCCAAAGAAGGGCTCAGCATGAGCTGGACCTCAACATAGGAAAAATTAATCTAAATTTTTAAAAGGAAAACCTCTTGATCTTCCCTTTGTGGCTCAGCATATCCCACAGCCCTAGTTTACAGAGATTTTCAGAGGTTCACCTTCCTTTTCAGGGACTATCATACCCACTCAGCTACCCATGACCAAGAATTCTAGGCAGAGATGTACCAATCTGGGTCTGCTAATTCAGGTAGAGAGTGTAATCGAAGTTGCTGTTGCTTCCATGCCTCAGGCCTCAGGAAAGTTGCCCTCTCTCCTATGAAGTTTCCCAACTGTGAGCTGACATTTGGTTGTTTCTGTCCTCATTTGCTTTGAAATCCACAGTAGCATGTTATCTGGACCAGCCACTTTCTATGCCTCAGGGGCTTCCTTGTTGTTTAAGTCTCCTTGTTGGCCACATATCTTAGCATAACACAGTTCTCCTTTAAATTGCATTGCATCAATATTCAGCCTTCTTGATTAGGTCTTCGTGTGGGGGAACTTACTATACTTACTAGGTACAGCCCAGGGGAAGGGGGAAGGAGGTGGAAAAGGAGCTATGTCGTCAGGGAAAGTAGAGAAGTAAAGACAAATTGGGTCACCTCCTTAGCACCTGTCTTTGGCGTGGGACTGTCAGTTTTCTAATCTGCTCTTAAATGCCCACCAGCATTACTGTCACTTCTGGACTATTTGTCCACACACGTGTCCTAACTCTAATGGCATGGGAGAGCATGCTGGACTGGGAAACACAGACAAAGAGAGAAAATCTCTGTCATGTTTATAGAATGCTAAGAATGTCTCTGAACTCTCCACAGAGGTGGAAATTGTCAAATGCTGAGAGTTCCTGCTATGACACATATGAACAGATTACTGAGGGAGCATGGGGGACCTCCAGATTCTTAAAAATAAACAGTCCCCCATCTGGGTGATTTGGATATGGATTTTCCTGTAGCTAAGTGTTAAACTAAATGATTTCTGAATCTATCCAGCCTCTTTATGATATAGAGTCATAAAGGCCAAGTGACGTCAGCAACATGGCATAGTGAGCTGTTCCCTTTGTCTCTCCCCATCTAAATTGCAACTAAATGGACATTCATTAACCAACAGAGGATACCCACACAGCACAGCAGGATGCCTGAGAGACCCACAGAGCTAAGCATCTGAAGGTGGATGGGCTGGATCCCCAGGAAGCAGTGGAACTAGGTGAGCGCACCCCTCCCCCTCCCCACAGAGCCTCACATAGCTGCTGGTGTGACTCTAAGAGGAGCCGGGGGCAGCCCAGCCTGCATGCAAACACTATCAGAGGGGTAGCCCAGCTTGCAGGAGCTCCCACTGTG